TAAACTAGTGATATAAAAGTTCCCAAAGAATCTAAATTTCTATTTTGTTTTGGATTTGAGTTGGCTTCACGACTCTTTTTTTTTTTAATTTATTATATTCATGTTGACATGAATGGGCAATGGAAAAGAAAAATAGTCCAAGTGGGTCTCAAAATAAACGAATTTAGATCTGTCATCGCACTTGGCTCTTTCATGACAGTCGCCGGTTTGTTCCTTCCACGACGGCGGAAGATCTGCTTTAGGGCATTAATTTATTTTATTTTTTTCTTTTTTGCTCTTGTTGTTGACTATTTTTCGTCGTTGCACAGTTTTTTTTTTAACTGACCATTACAACAACTCTAGCCTAATTATCCAAGCATCAGGGTTTCGGTCCCCAGCCCAGATCCTCTTTGTGAGGTTGATTGGCCAAGTGGGCCGGCCCGTATAGGCCGTTGACCGGAAAAAAGGAAATGAATGGTTAATTGAAGTTACACCATCTCCAATATATTTCCCCATTTTTGGCTCTTAGCTTCATGAGCCAAAGTGTACAAATACATCAAAGGATTAGTAGACTATAAGAGCACCTTCATTGGTGGTGTCTCTATGAGATACACATCTTAAAAAAATCAAAAACAAAATAATAATAATTTTTTAATCAAAAAAATTGAGAAACGTTGCTCATTTGAAAACTTTGAGAAACTCTATCTCTCATACACATGTCACTTTTAGATTAGTTTAACAATTTCTTTGAAAAATCAATCTTTTATATTATAAATCACAAGTCACCTGACCAATAAAAATTTGACATGTCATCAAATACAAGTTTTCTAAAAATGTTTTATATTTATTTCAACAAAAAAAAAAAGAAAACATGTACCATGTCATTATGTTAAAAAAACAATTTCGATAAATAAAAAAATGTTTAATAAATCTCTACACAGAAAAAAAAAAAAAGTACTCCATAATTAACTCCCACACACGTTCTTGTAAAAGCTTTATTTCCATGATCTTTTTAACTTCCCCACTATCTCTATAAACCAACCTATTTCAAGTCCATTTAACCTTCTATAAATACTCAAAATTATCTCGGCGCTTCTTGTGGAAATCCAGGCTTGGCCGCGGCGGGAGAAGTTTTACGGGATGGTATGGGGCGTTGGCGTGGCGGTTTTGCGCTTAATATTGGTATTTGCTCTGCTCCGCTAGCGGAGCTTTGGGGAGTGTATTATGGGCTATATATCGCGTGGGAGAGGAGGATCACGAGACTAGAGTTGGAAGTAGACTCGGAGTTGGTGGTGGGTTTTTTAAAATCAGGGATTAGTGATTCGCACCCCCTGTCGTTCCTGGTACGTTTGTGCCATGACTTTCTTACAAGGGACTGGATAGTCCGGATTTCGCATGTTTATAGAGAGGCTAACCGTCTTGCTGACGGGTTAGCAAACTATGCTTTTACTTTGCCGCTTGGCTTTCATATGTTTGAGTTAGCTCCGAGTGTTGTGGAGACTATTTTGTTGGAGGATAGTCGAGGAACTTCGTTTCCGAGATCGGTCCGTTTGTAATTTTTTTATTTTTGTTCTGAATAAATTAGCGGGGAGACAATATCTCAAAAGTATCTACATTTTACTGTTTTCTTCTTGCGCTCGAATTTTAGTCGGGAAGACGAAATCCTAGGTAATACAACAATGATATCTTTTTAGTTAGTTACAATATCTACATTTAATTCTTTTTATCCACGATTTTCTGTCAATATCATATTATTTATCTGTTACTCTCTTTCTCAGTTGGTTTTTTTTCCCATATAATCTTCTATCTTCTATTTTTTTTGGTTTGAACAAACAATTTTTTATGATTTAACAGAAGAAGATTAAGCACAAAAGTCTGGATTTCTCTTTGGTTAAAATGAATGTACTAACTTCTGGATTTTAGTTTTAAAGAAATTAAATGCATCATTAATTGGTAGGTGTTTTTTTCAATATATAAGTTTTAATTTTCCCTAAAATTTGTGATGATATAATGATTATTTTTTACATATAGAGAGATTATATCTAGATTTTGTTTTAGGTCCATAACAGACTTCAATATAAAAATAAAAATTTAATTTTATGAAAATACAGAATTATGTTCGTGCTATAGCACGGGTTGTAATACTAGTTACTTTATAATTTATAATATCAATTAAATAGTTTATAGGTTCATATTTTTTATTTTTTTATTTTTCTACAATTCATAAAATAAAATTATCTATATATTAAGTTTCATTATACAAAATTTTAAACTATATATTAATATTATTTTTAATTGAATAATTTGATATTTTGATAAATAATGTGTTATATTTTGTCATTATTTGATAAAATGATGTGTAATGTTAATCATATTGTTTTACAAAATGTCAAATATAATTAAATGATATGTTTAATATAAAATTCTATTAAAATATTAATTTTATGTGAATGAGATACTCATACGATATCTCACCAATGGATGTAATATTGAAATATGAGTTTCTATAAATAAAATGTTAAAGAAAAATTAATATTATATGGTTGAGAAACCTAGAGGGTATCTCACCCAATGGAGATGCTCTAAGACCATTTCCAACAATGAGATATTCTTTGAGTTTCTCAAACAAAAAATTATTAATATTTTAATAAATTACAATTATATAATTATTTTTTACTTATAAATATAAAATTGAACTAATATATTTAAAACATGCGGCTTAGTGGGTATATCAAACTCTCTCTTTTCTCTTTCTTAATTTTCAGATTTTTTTACTTTTATAATAGAAAGTTTTTCATTCAGAAACTGGAGATGCTCTAAGGGTATGACTGGATGTTATAAATAGAGGAAAAGAATTGGAAAGAAAAATAATTCTTCTCAATTACTCTGTCATTCCTCCAATCAAGAAGAATTTATTCACCAACCAATTCTTCTCAATTCTTCTACTTTTCAGTAGAAACAACTATAAAAATTTCTTTCCATCAATACATGGTATACAAATTTCTTCTACTATTTATTTTTCTTTTCTTCTCATTTCCTCTCTTATTTTTCTTCTCTTTTCTTCTCTTTTCTTCTTAAACCACACCAGTCACACCCTAGGTCTCATCGAACCAAATAGTGAAATGAAAACAGAATATTCCTCGTTGAACTGTCTTATCATTGGCCAATTTGGACGGTAATGGGTGACGGCAATGAATCACTTCACTTATAATGAACGACGATGATTCGGCAAGTGAATATGGGATTTGTTTTATCTTCTGAAAATGCATTAACCATAAACGAATATGTGGCTTCTATAAGAATCTTTGTATTTGTATTTGTATATGATTAATGGAAATTTCTTTGTGCAAGTAGAGTATTTTTTGTTTCTGTGTGTGTGGATGTACTTTGTATGTGTATTACTTGTAGAAATTTCTTATTCAAGTACAAATACAAAAAAATTTCCATTTATTGGATAGTAGTCAACCAACATAAGTATAACTTTCTAAAAGACTTTTAGTTTTAATGATTTTTTTTTTTTTTTTTTTTTAACTCAGGTGATCCTAAAGGCTTCCTAGGCCCAAAGACTAATCCTGGGGCCTGGAGAAACCATGTTAGAATTCGAACCCCGGTGGCCAATGCTACTCGAACCCAGGTGGCGGAGACTTTTCTCTCCTTTACCACTGGACCAAGGCGACTTGGTTTTAATGATAACTTTCTAAAAGACTTTTAGTTTTAATGATTTTCACATATATCTAAATTGAGAAAATCTATCTATACTAATATTTTTAAAGTACATTTTTTGTGGATGGGGCAAAATGCATTTGGATACAATGAATATCCGACCCATTTACAAATTTTGATCATAAAAAGTTTGTTGGGTCGGGTTATATTTAACCCAACTCATACACCGAATATTCCATATTTAATAATTTAGATATTTAGAAGATTTGATTAAGATTTATAATTATGATTCTCTTATCAGTTTGTTTGATTTGTTTTTAACTGTTTTGAATCATCATATAATACATAAAATAAAATAAAAATAAAAAAATCTGCATAGACTATGATTCGAAATTTTAAAAACGGACATATATTATCCAATTGACGAAAAATGTATATTCAACGTTCTACATCGACTAATATATTTAGACAATGATTCAGAATCATATCATAAATAATATCAACATTAATAAAATAAATGGTGTTTTGGCAGGTTGGGTTTGGCGAGACATGTTTTTAAATCAACAAAAATAAAATAAAAAATCATTAATCTGTTGCTTCAATACGTATTAAATCCTTAATTTTACAGCGACTAAAATCTTTAGACAATGATTCAGAATCGTATCATAAATAAGATCAACTCTAAGAAAAAATAGGTTTTTTGGCAATACGGGTTTGACGGGACATGTTTTTGAAACAACAATAATAATTAAAAAAAATATCATTAATCTGCTGCTTCAATATAGATTAAACTAGATCCGGACCCGCACATACGTGCTGGGTTTTATTTGTATTTGAATTTTTATATGTATATAGCATTTAAGGCTAGATACCCGTTACATGTATTCAATCTGTTGCCCGATTTGTACCTGTCTCAAGAAAAGGATAGTCGGGATCTTAGGGTCGGGTAAAAGATATTGTAATTCTATTACTTTTGGCCTGTAGATAAGGGTCGAGTATCGAGTATTTATATTTTGTAATACTTATCCCGTTATTCGATCTTTTTTTTTTTGTCATCCGAAATTAACCGTTATTCGACTGTTTCTCACTTTACTACACGACTTGTTTTATTCGTGTTTTATAATATTACTAATATTTTATAAATATATCTTATAGTAAAAGATAAATCCTAAGTCTGTAATTTTATACTTTTGGAAATGGAAATATATGTTGTATAGTTTTATGTTTTTTTTTTTTAATATATTTTTATGTATATTTATGTTGGGCCTATTTTGCATATTGGCCCAAAAACCTTTTTCTTGTTAAGTGGCTAACGACACGTTTCCTCTCCTCGTAGCTCCTCTTCTTCATCGAACACTTCTTCTTCTTCTTCTTCTTGCTTAATCCATTTCTTCTTCTCACTCTCTTCACCTTCACTTTTAGAGCTTTTCGTTTGAGAGATAGGGATTTTCTAGACGTTTTCTCTTCTCTTATGCTGTATTAAGCAGAAACTCAATTTCCAATAGACACCATAAAAAATAAAAAAAAATTGGTACTGCAATTTGTTCTCTTTCCCAAAACACACAAATCTTCTTCTTTTTTGTTCTTTCATGCTTAGGGTTCTTTCGATTAATAGAGTAAATCATTTTCTCCATCAACGATCAGAGAATCTAGTCGATTAGTAATCTAGGGTTTTTATTTTCCGTTTTCGTTTCTGGTTTACTCACCTATCGCGAGGAGGACGATGCGGTTTCTGAACTGCAAGTTAGAGTTGAAGATGATGTAGTTCAGAAATTAGGTCATTATATTAAAGTCCTCCTGTTTCTGAACTGCGAGTTAGAGTTGAAGATGATGTAGTTCAGAAATTAGGTCATTATATTAAACTTAGTGAGGACTTCGAAGTATTTCTCAGGAAGCAGAGCATGAAGATCTGTGTGGTTATGTTCAAGCTTGGTCTTTTATTCGCGATTCTAACTACTTTGGGTCTCGCTGGTTACAAATGGCTCGCTCCTTCAATCATGGATAAGGTTTAAAATTTCCTCCTTTAAAGATAATTCAGTGCATGTTCCATTACAATGGTTCCTTGTTCCTAAAATCCAGTGTTGAATTTGTTATGTTCTGTGGAAATTTTAGATCTTTATCAATTGTGTTCTGTGAAAATTTTAGATCTTTATGAATTGGGTTTGATTAGGATTTCATCAATTAATCATCACTCTTGAATAAGATCGTAAGTACTGACCACAAGTCTGTATGATGTAATTGTTCGTCTAGTGTAGAAAAAAAGTTCATTTATAAGATTGGTGCATGTTTCATGTGAATTTGTATATGCCATTACCTTAAGATCCGATTAGCCCAAATAAGGTTTGAAGTTAATGTCCTGTGGCTAATTAACATATAACCAGACCCTCTTAACATATAAAGTCCATAACATCTTTGGCTCTGTAACAACTACCTTTGTTTGCAGGAGCTAAACCATCTCGTAAAATGGGAGATCAGACATTTTTGTCAAAATATAATGCTTTATTTTCCCTTGTCATACTCTTTTTGATATTGATGATGGATGATTCACGTTCATGGTTTTGAAATTTTCTTTCCAATTGCATTCTCTAGCTATCCACTAAAATTGACTTTGGAATGGGGCATTTTTATTATTACTCGTAATACTTTGTTCAGCTTTTAATTCTTAGAGCTAGCATCTCTTGATCTTATGGTTGAAGAAATAGTAAACAATTGAGAAGAAAGAAATATTGCTTAGTCTTTGTTTCAAATTTGACAGTTCATAATTATTAAGGTCACATAGTCACTGCTTTGAGTTTTTTTTTTTTTTTTTGAATATACAGAAATCATTACAATGTTAAGAGAACATCTGCTGAAGAGTGTTATATTTTGGCATTAGAATTTCGATAGCAATCGATTTTGAGAAGTAGCTACAACAAAGGTAAATTCTCTTCTTGAACCATCTTGAATGTTTATTAGAGCAATAGCAATAGAGACATCATCATACATGATAATAATTGGTTACAACTAATTAAAGAAACTAAGAAACAAAAAAGAATAGAAAAGTTTGTTCCATGACGTTATCCCATTAAGAAGTCTGCAACATATATAGTTTACATTTTTCGTTATTTCAGTGATATCTACAAAATTCCCAAAAGAAAATTGATGAGGATGGTTTTAACCCGTACTTGAAAACAAAGTTAAGCTGTTTTGAATTTAAACAAAGTTAAGCTGTTTTGAAAATTTTTAAGATTTGCAATTTTATAAAACAAAGTTAAGCTGTTTTGAATTGGATTTTGATATTCTGGAAAAAAGAGAAGATGAAAAGAACAAATAGTTGATTCAAAACAACATTATTTCTTATCTAGAAAATGATTTCAGTAACCACAATACTTTCCAAATGCCTTTAGATTCCAGCTTTTCTCTGATAAACATATAAAAGAAATGATTATTATAGGATTGCATATTTCTAAAAATATTCAATCCTTGCAGATTATTAGTATAGATTGTTACCTCTTGCATATCATGTCGTTTGCAAAGAAAATTGTTATATGTTTTGAAAAACTTCTTTGAACACCACATTCATCGTTGCTTTCTGTGGGGTTCCTTCTTTGTCCAGTATGAGGATTTTTTGTCCTTTCTTAGAAGTTACCCTAGAGATTGCAACATAGAGTTGGCCATGTGAAAGGTTTGATGTCAGCAATGTTGGTGATCCCAAGCTTTAACGTGAAGAGAATAGATGAAAGCTTTAAAAGGTGAGTTCAATAGAATTCTTTACCCTATATTTATAGTAATCCAAAGTCGCCTAGCATTTTCTTAGGGTTTAGAGAATTACCTCCAAAGAGGATAATTTCGAATAAGAATATTTAAGGTATATGCTTGATTTGTGGCGATTTTTTGTATAGCTATTCTGATTTTTTTGGGTAGAATTTACAACTGAATATGGATTTGAAGAGATTTTGTTATTTTAAATAAAAACTAATAAATGAAATCGAATATCAATGAATTCGTTTTCTTCCAATATAGGGAATATGTGGGATTGGGTTTGTATAGAATAACCCGTGAACTGATTTTTTAAAATTCGAATTTATAGTTTTACTTGTTATGGAATGATTTTGAAGCAATTGAATCTAATTTTTTGAAACTTTAATTGCTAACATATTCTCGATTAAAAATAGCTAAGGAATATGCTTGATTTGTTCCTATATGAATATATAGATTCATATAGATTTACTTTTATTTTTGGTAAAACTCATAAATGAATATTTCAATAAACGGATTTTGTTATTTGTGGTAAAAACTCATAAATGAAATTGAATATAAAGAAATAAATTTTTTCTTTTAATCATCGGAATATATGGGTTTAGGTTCTTATAGAAATATAAGAGAAGTGATATTATTCTAATCCGAATTTTAAGCTTTTCTTGTTATGGTAATATATTTAAAGGTAATGAATCTAATTATTATTTTCTTTAATTGCTGTAGATCCGGATCATAAATGCAAGAGCTTCATATCGGGCCTATTGATTGTAAGCCCAATAGGACCACTAAAAAATTGCACAAATCGGGTCTGCTAGGATCCGCGTGTTTTACCGAGTGTAGACCCGAGATCCGCGTGTTTATCCGAATGATGATCCGACTAAAGGATCCAAGATCCGCGTCCCAGTTCGAGCCTATTGTCCATTATACCCCTCGTCTAAATCTTTTTCTTAGTCTTTTTTTTTTTGTCATCCGAAATTAATTAAAGCTCAAAAGAGCCATTCCTGAGGAATGTTATTTACATAAGTGATATGAAGCGGTTCTGTACGAACATTTCGTGCCAGATTATCCGCCTTAACATTAGCCTACGAGAAATTAAAGATAAAGAAAAAGATGAAAACTCCTCCTTGTTGCTCTGAAATTCCTCCAAATACACTAAAAACGTCGGTCATTCGGTTGGAGAAGACACCATCTTCACAAGGTCTGAACAGTCTGTAAGGAACGCTACCTCTTGATTATCTGCACCAATCATACACTTCATCGCCCAGAGAAGGGCCTCGAATTCGGCATGTAGTGGAGATAGACTTCTACGGAGGTTCGCAGCTTCTATGGTTGGCGGCTCTCCATTTGACGATGTACAGAACCAGCCTGTACCAGAGAACTTATCACTTTCTTTCCATGATCCATCTACAAAACAACGGTATCCCGAATACTCCGCCTCAAGTGAAACATCCCTCACTCGAATTCGATCTACCAAGTGCACAAAATCTTTTTCTTAGTCGTAGAATCAAAAATTTGTAATGACATTTTTTGTAATTCTTTACCCTTGATAAGGTTATTTATTATCCAATGCTTTCCAATTAATAGTATAGATCCTTAATTTTTTTAATACCAACAATATTAGACATATCAAATCAGTCTTATTTAGAAAAGATTGTATAAAACCAAAAATTGTCTCGTGGTATAATGTTACTTAATAACAAGGGAGACTCACAAAAATACCCCTTTTTCAATACCTCTTTTCAAAAATGCTCCCTTTGGCTGTCCATTTTTAAAAATACCCCTTTTATGTACAAAATGACTAAATTACCCTTCTTTTAATAAAAGATATCACAAATATATAAGGAAATATAACAAAATTAGGTCTACAAAATACAAATATTTTTTGGCGGTAAAAGTGATCCCGCAATTTTTCCTGCCAAAAAACTTGTAAAAACTTGTAAAACCTTTAAAATACCTTGTAAAATTTTTTCCCGCCAAAAATTTTTTTTTGCGGGAAAAGTGATTCCGCAATTTTTTTTGGCATTTTTGAAAAAGGTATTGAAAAAGGAGCATTTTTAACAATTTCTCTAATAACAATTGTAAACTATAAAATATAAATGTCTTAGAGAATGATTCAATTGGTAAACTTTTATATATACTAAATAATTATTAAATTTTTAAAATTATTACTTTTAGAAAAGAAATCACGGAACGGGTTAAGAAATTACAAGACAGGTTATATTTTGGAACAAGGTTATATGGTGGACCAGTTTGAATCAATATTTTAATTTTTTTAAAAATATCATTAACTTGCCGCTTTAATACAGATTAAATCATCAGTTTATTAAAATATAAATATCTTAGAGAGTGATACAATTTGTAAATTTTTATATATAATAAATAATCATTGAATTTTAAAATCACTACTCTTAGAAAACAAATCACGGGACGTGATAAGAAATTACGGGACGGGTTATATTTCAGAACGGATTTATATGGCGGACGGGTTTGAATCAATTTTATTAAATTTTAAAATATCATTAACATGCCGCTTTGATACGGGTTAAATCTTCAGTTTATTAACAATTGTCCTGTGGACTCGTGGTATACCGTTATTTAATAACAATTATAAACTATAAAATATAAATATTTAATAAGGAGATATAATTTGCAAAATTTTACATATACTAACTTTAAAGACTAAATCATCACCGCGAGTTAAAATCTAGTTGGATTAGTATAAAACCAACAAAAACGAAAATCTAAATTGCAAAGAGTGTACCTGTATCTGATCAAATCTATACAAGATCACTATTAAGGTATTAATCATATCCAGCCCCGGCTCAGATGGGTAGGGCGGAAGTGCGACGGCCCGGGGCTTTTTTTTTTATAAAAAAATTTTACATATAAAAAGGCCCAAATATTTTTTTAAAATATTATTCATATGAGAATTATATTTTAAGAGGCCTTATTATTTATAAGAAAATGTATAAAAAGGCCCAAAATTTTTAAAATAACAATTTTTACTATAAAAACTTCGCAAAATTTTTTAAAATTAAGTAAATTTTCTCTTTGTATATAATAATAGGCCAAAAATTTTTTTTTTGCCCTAAGGCTCTCAAATATATTGAGCCGGAGCTGATCATATCCAAATTATAAATCATGAGAAAAAAAGGCTCACGTAAAAACTAATCCAAAAGAAAGATTATGAAATATAGGCACACACACTAGTAATTCAAAATCTGTTTCATCAGATGAGAAATAATTGTAATGGATCATCATGTTTAAACTCTATACGTCTCAGGTTTTAGTTGTCACCATTTTTCTTTCTGATTTTGGACAGAGCAAATCAGCCAAATGTGAGTGCGAGTTTCTATGGTTTTGTGTGTGGGCTCTTTGGAAACACAAATAAAGTCAAAAGGTTAGAAATTTATCGGCTCTGGATATGTCCGGTTTTAGTTATGAATCCCATATTCTTTTACAAAAATCAGACCCGCTTCTTTTAGCTATTGAATTTAACCTTTTGAGTTTTTGTCACTTCTATTTTCTCAATAAATTGTTAACTTTGATAATATATAATTTTTTTGTACATGTTTCAATCATTCTTGGTGTTTTACTTTTAATAAATAAAAATGGCTCATTTAAAAATATATTTACTCAAGTTTTTAATATTTTTTTGTAATTCAGTTAACACTTCTAATAAATTTCTATAAAAAGCTTTTAATTTTTTGTAAAATGACGTTTCCACATTTTCTCAGACATATTAAAAAAATCTATTATAAGTTAATCTAAAAATTACTTTTAAGTTAATAGCTTTAAACGATATTTTGTCACATATTAATAAGTTAGTTGTAGCTAGACTAACCATTACTTAATCACCAAAGAGAAAAAAAAAAAAAGCAATTCTAGAACGAACATAGAAAAAAGATTAAAAACTTATATTTAAAAAGAAAGAAATAATAATTTTGGTTAACCGATAATGTAAAAAAAGTCAAACTCCATAAACTTCGCGGAAAAAGAAAGGTTCGTAATGGTGGAAGTATTTTTGCCATTACCGGAAAAAAATCCAAAGATTTAAAAATCCCACTGACTTAGCCAAAGATGGTCACTTTTTACACCCATTTCTCTCTCCTCCTTGTCTCTCTGAGCACCAGAATCTAGGGTTTCTTCACAGTGAATCTTTTTTCCTTCCTCTTCTCAATAATCGCCTTCTGGGTAAGTCAAATCACTCTCCCTCTTCTCACTTCTGCTCGCTGTGTAAAAAAGTTCATTCATTTCTAGGGTTTTTTTTTTTGGGATTACAAAGTCTAGATTTTTCTTCTCTGTTCTACTTACACTCTGTTTCTTCTCTCTCTATCTCTCTGCCTCTCTTTTGGGTTTCTCTGTTTTTTTCTCTAATGCGAGGACCCTTTACTTGGTCATGTATATCTATCTATCTGCGTGTATATATCTTTAAAGTTTTGTTCTTGCTTGTTTTGTGTTATTTACTTTAAAGTTCTACTCTTTCTACGGAATTTGATAACTGGAAGGGATGTGAAAACCTTGAGGAAAATGGTAGAGATTCTGATTAGAACCTATGTTCCATTTGCTTTATTTCATGGTACAATAGATGGATTACCTTGTTTAAATTTCATTTCTTTTGTGATGGTGTTTATTTAATTCATTGGTGATGGATTTTTCTTCAGGTACTTGTGTTAAAGGTGTAGAAGAGCAATATCCTTTAAGAAATGGCAACTGAGAATCCTATTAGGATGTCTGGAAGCAATGAAAGATGGTCTAATTCTAGGAAAGTTTCTGTTCCTAATCGAAGTGGCAGTGCTCCACCTAGCATGGAGGGGTCTTTTCTAGCTGTGGATAATCTATTGTCACGACAGGGCGGCTCGGGTTTCAATAACTTGAAGCTACCGAGTTACGGGTTTGAGGAGCCTGTGGCCACTCATCCTTCTTCTAAACACAGTCTTAATCGCATACCTTCCCCACCGATTTATTACCCTACTGATTATCAGGTCATAGACAATCGTGTAGGTAGATTTAGAAGTAATCAGGGATTGAATAAAGTTAGTTCTCCTATTCATTTGTCCCAAGGTAAACTTCCTACTCATAAGGAAGTGTCTGAGGATGAAAGCTCCCAACAGTTATCTGTTACTAGTGTTTCAGATAGGACTAATGGGTTGGACATTTCGCCTGGTTCTCAAAGTTTGGCTGATTTCAGGCAGGTTAGGCTTCGCTTTCTTTCCCCTCTCATTAATTATCTGCTTGTGAGTAGTGAAATGCCATTGTTTAGTCCTATAATAAGTTACTACTGAATCTTTTTTCGTCGCAGGATGATAATTCTTCTGGGCCGACCCTTCAACATAGTCGGTCTAACTCTTCAAATGGTGAAGTAAACACAGCGGACGAGAGTGGTAACTTCTCAGAGATGTCAGATGATGTCATGGTTAAAGATAATGCTGCTTCAACAGCAAGAGCTTCCATTGGCAATGAGAAGAATCCAGATGAATCGACTATCATCTCTAAAATGAAGAATACTAACATATCCGGACCTGGAACGGCTAAATACCCTCAAGAACCAAGATATGCACAGCCAGAGAGGCAGCTGCATCAACAGCAAAATAATGCAACCTGGATTCAAAGTGGCAGCAAAATGGGTTCTAATGGTGTAAACGATGCAGTTATTGGGACCGGACAGTTTCATTATGGAAAACCTTACAAGTTCTCGGGTGATGGTCAGCCTGTACTTCAGTCTTCCGGTTTTACGCCGCCTCTGCTTTACACTGCTACCCAAACGGCTTATATGACTTCACCAGCTCATGTCTATAATATGCAGTCTCCTCCTGTTTATTCTCCTCAGTATGGTTATGGACCATACACCAACATGATCCCACAGTTTATGCCTGGATACCCTTCCCATGGTTCTGTTCCAGTTATTGTCAGTCCAGATTTCATTCCTCAATTATCTGGGCCAAGTGCGGGAAGTGTAGTCCACGGAGGTGAAATGCAATATGCGGAGAAGCTCTATGTTCCACCAGGACAACCTTCTTTTCCAGATCCTATGTATATGCAGTACTGTCAACAGTCATTCGGGCAGATGGAATCGCTGGCTCCTAGGAACCACACGAATGCTCCTGAGTCTCACAAAGATGATCCAAAGTTCCTTCGACAAATAAGAGGGCCAAGTAACTCTAATATGGGTAGAACGGGAATGGGTGTTAATTATTATGGAATCCAGCCAAATATGGGCATTATGGTGCAGTATTTGCCTACACAGCTCGGCCCTCCTCTTTCACCAGGTCCTGTTCCCTATGTCGAGGCATATCCTGGATGGCAGCCACAAGGGAGCTTAGAAGGTGCCAATGGCCCTCGATTGTGCAATTTTCTTGAAGAGCTGAAATCTGGGAAAGGTAGGAGGTTTGATCTATCTGACATCACAGGACACATTGTTGAATTCAGGCAAGTTTTTATCTTTTCTTTCACGAATCTTGTCTTAGGTCTCTTTCCAATTATATGATAACAAACTTGAGTAAAATCTTGTTTCCTTTCAGTGCGGATCAACATGGGAGCAGATTTATTCAGCAAAAGCTTGAGAATTGTAAACTAGAAGAAAAAGCAGCTGTCTTTAGAGAAATTCTTCCTCATGCTTGCAAACTCATGACAGATGTGTTTGGCAATTATGTCATTCAGAAAGTCTGTTCCTACTTGATCCTGTTTCTTACAGTGTCTTGTCCATCAGAGTTCTATCCCTTTTATTGATTATTTGCGTCGTCTGTTTCAGTTTTTCGAATATGGAAACTCAGCACAGAGAAAGGAACTCGCTGATCAACTCATGGGACAGATAGTACCACTTAGTCTGCAGATGTATGGTTGTCGTGTGATACAAAAGGTACAGAAATCGCTACATTTTCTTAGTACTGGGACTTTGTTAAAACAATTGACTCATGAGTGAAACTTTGTTGTGGTGTTAGGCTCTTGATGTCATAGAACCTGATCAGAGAGTTCGTTTAGCACGTGAACTTGATGGGCAGGTCATGAGATGTGTTCGGGACCAGAATGGAAACCATGTGATCCAGAAATGCATCGAGAACATCCCAGCAGACAGAGTTGGGTTCATGTTACATGCATTCCGTGGTCAAGTTTCCTCGCTCTCTATGCATCCTTATGGCTGCCGTGTCATACAGGTACTAAGAACTTAAAGTTTTTTTGGCAACACAAAGAACTTAATTAAACGATTGTTTTTTCCTTCTCAATTTCTTGGTCTCTTCCATTGTTACTCAATGCGGCCTCACATTTTTTTTCCCTTCTGTAGAGGCTTTTGGAGCGTTGCTCGCATGACCATCAATGTAGGTTCATTACCGAGGAGATACTGGAATCAGTATGCGTCCTTTCAAAGGACCAATATGGTAATTATGTCACACAGGTATTGTCATGCCATTTAAAACTTACAAATCATTTACAACTGAAGTCAAATCAAACGGAATAACCAGTAATAACCAATGTTGGTATTTGGCAGCATGTCTTGGAGAAAGGGACATCTGAAGAAAGGGAGAGAATCGTGAGAAAACTATCAGGGCACATCGTGCAGCTTAGCCTACATAAATTTGCGTCAAATGTTATAGAGAAGTGTCTAGAGTATGGTGGTCGAATTGAGCGGGACCTCATCATCAAAGAGATTGCAGGGCCTGATGAGAGCTATAATAGTCTATTGGTGAGAGCTTATGGACCAAAACTGATACATTTTCTTCTTAAACTGATTGGATATTAACTGTAAGCCATCTTTACAGATGATGATGAAGGACCAGTATGGAAACTATGTGGTGCAGAAGATATTCGAGACATGTACGGCTGATCAACGTGCAACATTGTTCAGCAGAGTCAGAATGCATGCATCTGCATTGAAGAAATACACATATGGGAAACATATTGTTACTCGTTTGGAGCAGCCCTTTATTGAAGGTATGAAATTCCTCAACATTAGTCAGGTTCGAAAGTTAAGTGAACAATCACAATCTTTTAGGAACAAAAAGGCTTTTCTGTTATAACGGATTATGTAAACTGAAACAGGATGAAGTATACAATCAAATAGACTTTGTATGCTAAAAATGATGGGAGATTTTCTCAAAATTGGCATGTGTATAGATAAATGTGTGGTAGCAAAAGACTGAATAGACTTAAAATAATTGGTATATGGATCAAGACTCAAGAGTGACAAATTTTGGTTGTTGTTTCTGCAGAAAACCAAGAATTGAGATGATGAGTGGCTTTCTGATTTGAAGACAGTGGGCTGACTCAGATTTACTCTACGATTCGCTTTTCATGAAAGCTGGATATTCATTGGGAAGGTTTTAGATGATTATGAAGGACATTGATGTTGTTGCTTACTTGGAATTAGCCGTTGTGATGATTGTGTGGCATGTTCTGTAAATATTCATAAATGTATCAGTAGTTGTACTTGGGATATATGTAACTGGTTTGTGGATTATCATCAAGGCAATCGAAACTTTCTAGACACAGTATAATTGAAGCCAAACATTACATGCTAATCCTGAAATGGCCTCTCCTCTTCCTCAACTTTCATGTTCAACACTCTGTTTTAAGACTTTTTTTTTTTTTTTTTTGCATACTTCAGCCAATAGGAGCCAAAAAAATGATATGATCGAAATAGAAGAAGCTTGTCATTACATCAGAGACTCGTGAAATGGAACTGAAAGCAGAGTAGCATATCACATGACAGTAGAAGAAACACCCCACACAAAAACAAAAGCTCAAACTAACACCTCCAAAATACTATTTCCATCTTAACCAAAGAGATCAAATCCGAAGTCTCCTTCTTCCTCTTCTGATTCTTCTTTCTTCTTCTCATCTTCCTTAGGAGCAGCTGCAGATTCACCCGCACCACCTCCACCCGAGGCAGCTCCTCCAGCAGCGAATCCTCCACCACCACCACCACCGACAATCACCTACGCCACAACAAATTGATTCCCATTGATAAAAAATAACAAGAAACGACAATGCAAAATAACAAGAATTCTACAATAGAATTGATTGGTACTAGTTTCCAGAGCCATGTAAACTATAATCACCAACTAAAACAGAGAAGGCGGCCAAAAGCAAATTGAGTAATTAGCTATTACAAAGATGTAACCTTTAGGTCTCAGTGTGAACTTCTTAAGCTATAAAACAAGCTACATTGACGCATTTGATGCAACGATAAGAGAACTAAAGTTGAGCCATGACACTTGGATCAGTGATCAACGACCATAATTAGTGTGAATGAATCTCATTCATCAGAAAATGTAAGCTCTGATTCTCACAAAGTGATTCCAAAATGTAAGCTTGATCAAGCAAAAGAGACTTATATACCTGGAATACGGCGGAGGTAGGGGAGACAAGAGAAAACGAAGACTGAACGCCACCGGAGGAATCGGCGGAGAGAGCAGCTTGGACGAGCTTACGCTGGAGCTCGTAGGTAGAAGAAGCCGAAGCTTCAAGTTCTCCTTCGTGTTGCTTTGCAGTCCACGCGCCGCCGCCATTTTTACACACGAATGTGAATACTCCCATCTTCTTCAATGTCTGCTAAAATCGATGGCGATTGTGAGAGATTTCTGGAAAAAAGTAACGATTGAGTTGTTTTGCTGTTATATACGATGATGACCGAAGCTCAAAGAGAAAATAAGAACCCTAGTTTTAGAGGTCTCTGTGTAAAAAGACTGTTTTACCCATAGGCCATAGTGGACTTATAGGCCTGATGGGCCACTTTTGTGAGCAATGAATTATAGGCCTAGAGTGAATAGCAACAAATCTAGGAGAGTAATTTCCTAACACATGAGATAATTAGTATCACAACTTCCATCTCTCTTCTTTTCTTCCATAAACTATGCATTGCACCATTCACCTCATGATTCATGATATTGTAACTCTAAGCTACGTTGGTAACAAAAACATTACCGGGCAATTTGCTTTTCTCCTTTACAGTAACTTCTTGAAACCATGAGATCAACATTGAAATAAATGAACTCACATTGAAAATTCAAAGGAGAAGACCTGCTTAATAATATATATGGAGTCTTTTGCTATCAAAAAAAAAAAAAAAAAATCAAAGGAGAAGTTACCGCCTTATGTTTCTAATCAGACATGATACGTCGAACGGAAAAACAATAATTCTTTTTTTTGTCAAAAGAAAAACAATAATTCTTAGTTAATTTCAAAAATTTTAATGAAATCTGAGTTTGTAATTCTTCATTTTATTAAAATATTTAATGAAAATACACATGATTAGGATGTAAAATATATGTAAATTGTTTTCTCTTGGTTTATCTTTAAAAAATTGTACTCATGTCATCTTTATATCACCAAGTCACAAGCTATTTTTGTAATTTTAAAATAAAAATTCTAACAATTCCACCAAATCTCCTAAAAACTCACTCAAATCTCCCACTATATAAAATTTCCTAAATTCCACAAAATCATCCAAAATCTTTAATCCAATACATCCTCCTTAGTTATGATATCTAGCTAGAAACACATTTTATTTTAAACTTTATGTATCTAATTTCCTTGCCATGGATTTTATTCTAGTTTAGTTAAACTTAATTAGAAGTAAAGTTTATTGTTGCTGATAAATACAAAATATTTCAAGTTTCAAAATCTAAATATAGTTGTCAAAATAAGAGAAAAATCGAAAGAAAATGAAAGGTTGGTTTATATTGAACGGACTCGTTAACAAGAAAGTAAAGATTGGCGTCGATAAGGTCAAGAGATGTGGCTTATGGACTACTTTTAAGTTTTGAGCAAAAAAAAGAAAAATTGGACAAATTAAGACTTTCCCTTCTTTTATTGGTCAAGAAAATAAAGTCTTTTCTAAACTAAATTAAGTTTCATTTCCTGTTTTTAGGCTCACTCGTTGACTTTTTTCAATTTCTTTCCTTTGGCATATTTATAAAATAAGAAGAGAGAAAATCTTCAATAATTTTCAACAAGCAAAGGAGAGACGACTCATGATGGGGAATAAGGGAAATCTCGGATTTGTGATCTTCTTATGGGCTCTGGTGGTTGCAGTAGTAGCCACGGCTATCGAGCATCGTCCCATTGAGAGGACTAAAGGCATTAATGGTCTTGACAAGATCATCATCCGCGACCGTCGTGGCCGATCTGCTGAGGTACTCTTACGGTTTGGTTTAGATCTTTGATTGTCATTTACATCAAAAACTTGGTTTCGAAACATCTTTTGGATATTGCATGATGCAGATTTTGATTCATTTTGTTTCTTTATCTATTCAGGTTTACTTGTATGGAGGTCAAGTGAGTTCTTGGAAGAATGAGAAGGGAGAGGAGTTACTTGTTATGAGTAGCAAGGTAACGTCAGATTCACTCTATCTCCTTTTAAGATCATATGATTGCTAAAAGCCTAAAAATATTGGTCTCTGATTGGCTGTATCTGCAATAGTTTTTTTTTTTTTTCTAATTTATTTTGTATGTACAATTGTAGTTGACTAAGTAAACTATGCAAAGATGAATCTTTACTTCATTAGAGGCTTGTAAATAGATAAGTAGCTTAATGTCTGCTTGTTATAAAGTAGTGGTAATTTATGGGTATGTTATGAGTTCCAAAGCAGAGAAATCTAAAATCATGTGTTACGTATTGTGCAGGCTATATTTCAGCCTCCAACACCGATTCGTGGAGGAATTCCAGTATTGTTTCCGCAAGTATGTGTTCAAAACAGAAAAATTTCTTTGTAATTGAATGGTATAATTTATTTTGTTAATGGAATGTTTTTATGCAAGTGCAGTATAGTAACACCGGTCCACTTCCCTCACATGGATTTGCAAGGCAGAGGTTCTGGCAAGTTGAGGCTAAACCACCTCCTTTGCCATCAATTTCTTCTGCTCATGTTGACCTTATCCTAAGATCATCCAATGATGATTTGAAGATCTGGCCTCATAAGTAGGTTTCTTGAAACCTCTCTCTCTCTCTTTTTCAACATTTTTTCAGATATTTGCTTGTGAATATTTTGCATAGAATCTGGAAACTGTTTTGAACTCTGTAACCATTTCAGGTTTGAGTACCGACTGAGAGTAGCATTGGGACATGATGGAGATTTGACGTTGACATCTCGTGTTAAGAATTCTGATACTAAACCATTTAACTTCACATTTGCTCTTCACCCCTATTTCGCTGTTTCCAATATCAGGTAACCCAAAGAGTCATAACTTCACGTTGACATCTTTTTTTATATAAATACGCAGTTCTTGTTTTTTGGTTTGTGTTGGTGTTAGTATAGTTATATCAGCTGCTTGTTGTGTTCAGTGAAGTCCACGTCGAAGGATTACACAACTTGGATTATCTTGACCAACAAAAGAACAGAACACGTTTCACTGATCATGACAAAGTTATAACTTTCAATGCTCAAGTAAGCCTTTTGTCCTTTTGCCAATTCACATTTCAACCCTTATTATATTCCATCACTTAAAACACACACCTTGAAAAAAAGCTTGACAGGTTGTACCTAAGCACTCCAAATAAACTAAGAATCGTAGACCACAAGAAAAAGAAGACTATTGTTGTACACAAGGAGGGACAAGTTGATGCCGGTAACTTTAAAGACTTAGATTTGTAAACATACATATATAGAGTTATAGACACAGAAACAGATTGTTTTAGTAGTACTAATGATGGATCATTTGTAACTATAATGTGCAGTGGTGTGGAATCCATGGGACAAGAAAGTGTCAGATTTGGGAGTTGAAGACTATAAGCGTTTTGTAACGGTGGAAAGCGCGGCTGTCGAGAAACCGATCACAGTGAACCCCGGCAAAGAATGGAAAGGAATACTCCAAGTATCTGTGGTTCCTTCAAATTGGAAAGCTTGAACCTAAAAAGTCTTGCATTCATCATCCTCATCTTAAAAAAAAAAACTTAAAAACTGTCTTTATTAAAATATATACTTAATGTTCCCGAGAGACATCACATGGTGAACACAAAGTTAGTTGGGTTCCAAACTGGACTCTGACCAGTTTCATTGTTTTGTAATAGTATTCATGAATTTTTAAATTGTTAAAGGTAATTAAATAAAAATGCGTTAATTACACCAATTGGATTTTGGTTATTTGATTAATCAGTCTGATTATAGCAAAATTTATGTTCTTGAATCATCAGCCTAAACAAAAATTAGATTACCCTATGAATCAGTTTGTTGTTTATAACAACAATAAAGTATTTACTTTATATTTTTTGTAAGTATATATTATATATTTATTTTTTGAGAGTTTGTCGTATTAATTATTAAAGTAAAAAATCTTAGCCACAAAATGAAATCATCTCCAAGACGTATCATCCATCATCATCCACCAATGAAAAGTTCTGTCTTTTTTTCCTACTCTGTTCTCGGCCCAGATTTTCCTGGGAAAAAAAAACTCAATCCACCCGAATTCCCCAAATCTCCAGCCTTTCTTCATAGTTTCTGGAAATTTTCTCGATCGTGAAGCAGAAAAGTGAGGATCCAAATGGGTTTGGTTTCGGGTCAAACCCGAATTACAACGATGAACCTCTCGCTCTCATCAGCAGAGAAGAATCCTAATTTCCGCTTATCGCTTCTCAATTCTAAGGTAATTTGTTTTAAGTTCGTCGAGCTTCACCAAAAAAAAAATGACTGCTTTTTCATGATTTCTTCTTCTCCTCTTTCGCTTGTGTTAGAACGCAATTTCAGATAGTTTAGGAGTCTCTTCCAAATGCAGTACATTCCTCAGAGGTCAATTTCAAAGAATACATTTTTCTTTAGTTCACCACACTCGACCTTTGAGAACACGATCACGATCAGGTAAATGCTTAAATTCGTATTTGATTGACAAAACCAGACCAATCTCTTTAGAACTCTAGTTGTGATTTAGATTCTTGTAATTTGGTGTAGTATTTGGTCACGTGAGCTGCGTCATGCCGTTAACGGAAGAGAATGTAGAGAGAGTGTTAGACGAAGTACGACCATCTTTAATGGCTGATGGAGGAAACGTGGCGTTGCACGAAATCGACGGACTTGTGGTTGTTCTAAAGCTACAAGGAGCTTGTGGTTCATGTCCTAGCTCATCAATGACGTTGAAGATGGGAATCGAGAGTCGTCTTCGAGACAAGATTCCAGAGATCATGTCCGTTGAGCAGTTTCTTGAATCCGAGACTGGCGGGTTAGAGCTGAACGATGAGAACATTGAAAAGGTTTGATTTTAAAAAGTTTTATTTATTTTTTTTTTAGCCCCTTGGTTTTGAAATCGATATGAATGGTCCTTTTGGTTTGTTTTTAATTTAGGTTCTCTCTGAGCTAAGGCCGTACCTATCCGGTACTGGAGGTGGGGGGCTTGAGCTAGTTGAGATCGATGGTTACATAGTCAAGGTTCGGCTCTCTGGACCAGCTGCTGGAGTCATGACTGTTCGTGTCGCGTTGACTCAAAAACTAAGGGAAAACATTCCTTCTATTGGTGCAGTCCAGCTTCTAGAGTGACATCAATCTTTTTTATTTTGTAACTTCTTCTATTCATCTACAAGGCCTATTTTTGATTCTATATATTTTATTTCCAAATTCTAGAATTAGTACAATTAATACAATGACCTATTTCTGTTGACGAAAAAGGAAAAATAAAAATTTAACCTATGTATGAAGGACATTTTCTCTACTGATCTTTGTTTTTAGGCAACAGTTATAAAATATTCTCTAATTAAATATGCATTTATAGCGAGTTCTTGGTGAGCAAGGATACTATATCTCTATAATAAATAAGTCGGACATAGGTAGAGATGACGAAACACAAACATAGATTAGAGTTTCAACGATGTCACAGCTTATAATCAACAGAATGTTCAAACCCTCTGTCTGCAAAAAATTCCTCGTACGTAAGCTTCTCTTGCTTTTTCTTTTAACGTTTTTGTTTTTTTTACGTTGTCTTTGACTACTTGAACATATATATATATGGCAGAGACAAACAAACGTTCGTCTGTTCTCATCTGCAACTCACACGAGTGGGTTGGAGTCCGATGACAAGAGTAGTAAAGTGAATCAGCCCTTCTCGTCTAAACCAGCCTTCCCGTTTCTGTTGATTGACTACATCCTTAACAACCCAAACTCTTCCTCGGATGGTCGCGTAACAACAAACGATTACTGTTCCAATGAAAAGGAAGTCTTGATTAAGGACAAAGATCTCAAGGAGGAGGTCTGTGATGCGATGACTGTAGGATTTTCACGTGATGGATTGCGAGTCAAGCTTTGTGACAACTACGACGATAGTTTATGTTCTCCCACCATCTTTTACAAGCCTACTGACCCCGAACTAGAAGACGTGACCGTTTATCTACCTCCTCTAGCCACAGGTTCCCAAATCCAAAGCCTGGCCATGTCCTCTTTACCTAAACGAGATAAAAATTGGGTAGTCGTTGTCAAGTTATTGGGATCTCAGTTGAGTATGTGCAGGCCTTTTGGCAGCCGTAAATGGATCAACATCAAAACCAAGCCTCAGAATATAAACCCTTTATCGAGCATCATGTTTTCCAAGAAAGATAAAAAGTTCTACATTCCAACTCCCGGTGGCAACATCTTGTGCTATTTGGATCCCTATTCAGAGGACGACGACCAAATCGATTTCCTCGACTTGGATTTTGACGATCTTCCAGAATCGGTGTTTCAAGAGTTGGCGGACGTGAGTACATGTTCTAGGACGGACCACCTAGTGGAGTCACCCACCGGCCAACTTTTCCTCGTCAAGTGGTATAGTATCTAATTAAAATTATATATAGCTTTTATTTTTATAAACATATATATTACCAAAATCTATAATCTTTTGCTTGAGTATCATATTGGCTCTATAATGTCTTTGCAGGTATGGCGAGGATTTCGAGGACATTGACAACTGCACACTGTATCATGTAACAAAAAAGTTCATGGTGTTTAGAGAGGAAGAGCAACCGAGTAAATACAGTAAGAAGATGATCTACACAGAAGACATTGGAGATCTTTGTATTTTTGTTGGACATAGTGAGGCTTTCTGCGTCCCAGCTAACTCATCCCCTGGACTCAAGCCTAACTGCATCTATTTTGTGGGCTATAACTTTGGTGTTTATGATCTCACCACCAAAACTTGCACTATGTTCCTCACAGAAGATGAAAATCCATTAAGGAAATTAGAATTCCCTTACTGGCCTCCTCCGGCTTCCTCTCCACCAGCTTCTAATTAATTAATATGGCTCTTGTACGAGTGTTTGCTTCACTAATGTTATCGTTGTCTTTTCTTTCCCATGCTTTCATTTAAATCCAATGTTTTCTTTCAATCAATGTTTTAATTATATTTACGATATATGTTTGATATTTTTATTTCTTCGACCCCAACAAATATACGTCTAGGGTGACCGTAAATTTCATACTCTCCCCAATGTTCGTGTGATCATGTATGGTTTGAAACCGAAAAACCCCTCTCTGATGTGTTTAGAGGTTGTGGAGATTCAAAGCAACTGAGCCTCGATTATTGGTTTCGTCTAGGCCTGGGCATTCGGGTCTGCGGGTCGGGTTCGGATAAAACCCGATCGGGTTCGGGTATGTCGGGTATGGTAATCTAGGACCCAATAGGGTAAACTCGAAACATCGGTTCGGTTTCGGTTCGGGTATGGTCGGGTTCGGATCGGTTCGGGTATCAGATTTGAGAACCGGTAAAAACCCGAAAATATCGGTTCTTGCTTGTTTCGGGTCGGGTTCGGGTATTTTCTACCCGTTTACACTGTGGAATACATTTTTTACACTGTGGTTCTGTTACACTGTAATTGAATAGAATAAAACCTAAAACATTCAAATACAAAAGTCTTAAACATCCAATTCCAATCATCCAAATATAAAGAGTTAAAGTCTTAAAGACATAAAATGATAGAACATATCCATGAAACACATGATTCAAATCGAAGAAAAAAAAGACAAGTTGACAAGCCTAAAACCCGAAGTAGAAAACTGGAGATGGAAACACATTACACATTCATGAAAACTAGAAGTAGATAATCTCACTCTCCTTGACCAACCCGCATGAACCTATACAAGTAAACAAATGTCAGAAATCAGAATGCAATCTCACTCTTACATAATCTATGTATCTCACTTAGTTCGGGTATGACTAACCTTTGTAGATCTACTCAAATTCACCGACTCAAATTCAACTTTGCCACTTAAATTAAAAGAAAAAAAAAGAAAGATCATGACCATAAAGAAAAAATACCATCACATCTTCACGGTCTCTGTTTTATCATCAACACAAGTAAGAGAAATTCATCATGTACCATAAGAGATACTTGCTTGAACTTGACAGGAGATCTCTTGTACAAAACAAAGCAAAGAAATTCAACAAAGAAGTGGCTTTCTCAACTGTAACCTAGAGACAGAGCTACCAAGTTTCAGGTTTCAATGAAACGGATCATAAGTTCATAACTCTAAAATACTCTCATCGCTATATCAAAGATCCACCAGTTACTCAATCAAATCGACATATCCTACATAATATCAGACTATCAGAGGGTCAAAATGATATAGATAATGTCGACAAAAGGAAAAAATAAGTACCAAAACAGAGAGATCATCGAAATCGATTCGATTTCATTCCGTAAAAGCTAAAAACCCTAAAGGCCTAAACCAAAACTTATCATCGATTTCAATCAATTATAAACCTAAAACTCGAGAGACGGAGAGAGATCATGGACTTGTGAAATTGGAATGTACCTTTGAGCGGTTTCTCGACAAGGCCGACGGTGGAGAAGTGACCAGAGACGGTGTCGACCATGTGGAGGTCTTCGTTTGAGTTTCCAGGTTTGAATCGGAAATGGAAATTGTGGTAAATGATGATTGATAAAGGAGAGAGTAGAGATCTAGGGTTCTAGAATCGAGCAAAGGGAAGAAGCTAAATAGTCAAAAGGTTAATCGGGTTAGAGACTAAACCTAAGGGCATTTAAGCGGATCGGGTTTTCGGTTTACACCATCGGGTATCGGGTAAAACCCGAACCCGACCCGATACCCACGGGTAAGCAATTATAGAACCCAACAGTGTAAAACTCACATAGCCGTACCCGCCCCGAACCGGTTTTTTCGGGTCGGGTCCGGTTCTTGTACTCGGGTACAGATTTTTTGCCCAGGCCTAGTTTCGTCACCAAGCTTAAAACAGAGTATATTTCAAAGTTTATTTATGTATCATGTAACTCGAGTCTTGTAAAGGGTTAAAGACTCGAGTTCATCGAGAGATAGAACTCACTAGAAGGTGAATTTGCCTGTGTTCCCTTTTCACTTTCTTTGTTTGTCTTTTTTTCATACCATACGGGTGCAAGACAAGAGAGAAAGGCGATAGAAAAAAAAAAAAACCAAAAAGTTCAAACTTTATAATCTCTAAAAAAAATACACTTTGGCAAAATTTTAAGATTAGGTTTAAATTCATATTCCTCAATTAATAAAAGACACACTTTGGCATAATTTTTTTTATAATTATTTATTTCCTGAAATAATTTATCCTCTAAATATTCATATTTAATGTCTCTCTATTTAGTGTTCAAGGCGTAGTACCCTCTGTATTAACTACAGAGACGGGGAAGACGGAAAGAGACACGCGACTAATCAAAATCACAGCACATACTTAAGGGTCTCAACAATGTACCCGCTTAGTATTAACCGACTCTTCAAACCCTCTGTCTGCAAAAATCTACTCGTAAGAATCCTATTGCTATGAAATAATAATTAGGGTTTTTAATTTCCTTAAACTTTTTGGGTTCTTATTGTCTGATTTCTTTTACTTACGTAAACATGGTAGAGACACAAGAACGTTCGTCTTTTCTCGTCTACAAGTCACACAAACAGAACGGATGGTGAGATGAGCGTTACTTCAAAACTACTAACCCCAATCGATTTTTCCTTCTTGTCTACACCGATCTACCCGTTTCTGTTGATAGACTACGTTCTTAACCTCCCGGAGTACTCTCCTGATGGTCGCGTAATTAGGACATCCAAAACAGGTGATCCAGCTCAAGTCCCAAAGACAACGAGCATCTTGATTAGGGATAAGAAACTGGCGGAGGAAGTTCGTCATGCGATGACTGTAGGATTTTCACATCATGGATTGGGATTCAAGCTTTCTGAAAATTCCCTAGATATACTCATCGATGACCAGGAATCAACACCTTCATGCGTTCATCTACCTTCTTTACCTACCGGTTTCCGAATCCAGAGCCTGGCCATGTCATCCTCCTCAAGTGACCTATATAATAGTGAAGACTGGGTCGTTTGTGTCAAGTCCTGGGGATCTCAGCTGAGTCTCTTTAGGCGCGGTCATGAGTGGATTAACATCCAAACCTCGCCTGAGTTTATACACCCTTTCTCGAGTCTCATGTATTCTAAGAAAGATCAAAGATTCTACATTCCAGCTCCTGGAGGCAATTACTTGTGCTGCTTGGATCTCTACTTTAAGGAAGGCGACCAAGCCGAGTTCATTCCCTTATTTGATATAATTCCTGAGTCGGTTGGGCCTGAGTTGACCCCGCTAAATTCCTCTTCCAGGACAGATCACTGGGTGGAGTCACCCTCCGGTGAACAATTCCTCGTAAAGTGGTATATATACTAGAATAAAAATTATACTAAGTAACTATTAGGTTATGCATTTAATGGCACAAGAAGAGGTGAAATATGTTATCTTATTTGTTCTTCCATGTGTTTTTAGGTACGGCCACAACTTAATGCGCAATCACAACAAAGTGGAAACACTCGTGCACATGGCATCACAGTTTATGGTATTTAGAGCGGAGGAATCATGGGAGGAAAAGTATGTGTATTACACAGAAGACATTGGAGATCTTTGCATCTTTCTTGGGCATAGTGAGGCTTTCTGCATCCAGGCCAGTTCTTGCCCCGGGCTCAAGCCTAACTGCATCTATTTTGTGGGCTATAATTTCGGTGTGTATGATCTCACCACCAAAACTTGCACTATCTTCTACACGGAAGAGGACGTTCCATTAAGGAACTTGGAATTCCCTTACTGGCCTCCTCCAGTTTCTCTCTACTCATAATTAATATATATTTTTCACTAGTGTTTATGGTGTTTTTTTTTTCTTTTCTTTTATGCTAGTATTTAAATCCCTTTCTACTCTAAGTTCAATGGAAATTTCTTCGATTCAACAAAATTATTGTTATTTTTCTTCACAATGCAACAAAGATATAGTTGTAAATGTAAAGTTCATGTATAATCTCTTCAATGTTCGACGATTTGTGCATTAAAAGCTATACATAAGCTTTTAGGTGTTTCATTCTTTGCCGGAACAATTGTGAGTTGCCGCAACGATTTTTTCTTGGCGTTTCAAATATTTAGATTAACCCAAATATAGTTTGAAATGTGATCATTTATTTGAAGTCTTTAACACAATTACGACTATATATTTTTGTTTCCAAGTGTGTTATGTTTTCTTTCCTTTTGAAGTTGTTTTCTTCTTAAATGTAAATCTTGGTCTCCAAGGCCTACCCCTTTGCATATCTTCGACCGGAGATAAGAAAAAGGTGGAAGAGAAACAAAACCAATTACATAGATTTTCAACAATGTCTCAACTCATTTTCAGCCGCCTCTTGAAGCCCACTGTATGCAAACATGTCCTCGTAAGCTTTTCATTCTTCCAAAATAAGTAAGGTTTATTTTCACTACATTTGGTTCTTGTTTTCTGATTACATTAAACGTACCTACTATGTCGCAGAGACACAAGAACGTTCGGTTATTCTCTACACCGGCCTACCCGTATCTGTTAATTGACCACATCCTTAACACGGTTCACTCTTCGGAGGGTCGCTTCTCCCTTCACTACGGATTTTATTGCCCATCTCACTTAAAAGAAGAGGTAATTTTGATTAAGGACAAGGAACTGGTGGACGAGGTCCGTCATGCGATGACTTGTGCATGTTACCAAAGTGGAGTGAGATTTCACATGCCAAAACAAACATTCCTCAGTATCCATTACCAAGATCCCTCTGACCCTAAATCAAAACCTGTGATAGTTGATCTTCCTCCTCTTCCTAAAGGCTCCCAAATCCAAAGCCTGGCCATGTCCTCTTGTCCTGACCTAAACAAAAAAGACTGGGTAGTGGCCGTCAAGTACTCGGGATCTCAGCTGAGGCTCTATAGGCCTGCTTTTCACGACGACTCTCAGTGGATAGATATCCAAACCACGCCAGGATCTATAAACCCTTTCTCGAGTCTCATGTATTCCAAAAAAGATGAAAGGTTTTACATTCCAACTCCTGGAGGCGAATACTTGTGCTCCTTGGATCTCCACTTCAAGGAGGGTGACCACCCCGAGTTTAATCATATGTGGAATGAAGATCTTCCTAGATCTTTGTTGCACGAGTTGCATGAGTTGAATTCGCTTTTGAGGACAGACCATCTTGTGGAGTCACCCTCTGGCGAAAAGTTCCTCGTCAAATGGTAAATATATCTGTGGATGTCGGATTTACACACTCAAGTATTTTTATTAAGTGGGAAAGATTATTCTTGAGGGACAAAAATGAGTATATAAAAACTTGTAAATTGATACAAAAATTGCTATATTATTTCTCTCTCGAGAGGAAGATCTCCCTTACATGGCCATCGGCATCTATATTTATACACCGATAAACGACATTAAAATGAGTAATTAAGCACAATTATTTCTTCTTAAATGTGTCCGTTTTGATTCTTCGGCTTTAATGCTCAACGTTTGAATTTGAGTTGACTCTGATCTTCATGGGCCTCGCCTCTTTCGGCCCAAGTGTCCGTGAACCGACTTACCCGTGTCTTCTACACCGAACTCGTGTCACAGTGTAGTCACTTCGGATTCTCGAAATGGTGACAACCACTTCGACCGTCCCTTCGGCTCACGGGTCCAATGGGCTTCATCCTTTATGGGCCATTATCTTGATCACGTGGCAATCTTTGGTTGGTCTCGTACTTCTGGTGCGGGATCCGACACCAACAATTAGCCCCCCAAGTTCTTCGAAGTGCTATTCCAGTTCGGAGGACTTTAAATGCTCAAGTGGCCAAAGATTGCGCTCGAGAATCTTTCTGATTTCCCGCCGAAAATCCCATCACTCCTTTAGTTTTGGCACTATCCATTTTTAACCGAGTGACATCTGTCATCATTATGACCGTATATTGATTTAATTACTATTAAAACGGGAAAAACCTTCCCACTTCCCACACGACTTCCGAGGCGGTTTCATCATTAGTTTGAGGTAACTTCTTTTCACCATTACTCTCTTCTTTTACTTTTGTACTTTAATCAAAACCTCTCTCTTCGTTCCTTCACCAAAACCCTTCTTCGCCGGATCTTGAATTTTTCTTTCTTCCCAATGACTTCTGATTCCGATAGACCCGAGTCTCCGTCTTTTGACGAGAGGCGTTCTAGTAACGACGAGTGCACCCGCCCTGGTGACATTGCCGGTCCGCACTACAGGTCTACTTGTACTCTTCAATCCCTCGAGCGATTGAGAGAGCTTTGCCGGATTCCGCCGGAAATTATGGCGGAAGCACAAATAGCTTCTCCCACAGAATCTCCAGAGAACCATCGCGATGGTTACTTCTGTGTGTATGAGATTTATTTCAAGGGTTGCGGGCTTACCTTTCCTCTTCCCGAAGCCCTAATTTTATACCTAGCGGCTCTTGAAATCGCTCTTCCTCAATTAACCCCCAATCTTCTCCGCACAATTCTTGGAATTATAACAATCGCGGCGGAGGCCGGTTATGTTATCGGAGTTGCTGAACTGAATGAACTTCTGAGCGTGAGAAGTTCATCGAAGAAAACGAGATATTTCTCAGCATATCCTAATGCCAACAGGAATATCATTTCACATCTTCCGAACAAGGATGAAAATTGGCATCATCCTTGGTTTCTAATTAAGAAAACCCCCGCTTCGATTGGAAATCTTGCTGATTTTCTCCCTTCGAAGTGGTCTGCGAAACCCGGTAGTGATTAGGTTGCCCGTATCTTTCCCGGTTGTTTCTTTATCTTTATTGACTAACACCGTTGTTTCATTTCGCAGCTTTCATCGCTTCCAACCTCCCATCTGAAGAGTTCATCGAATTCTTCAAAATAATTCTTGAAGGGGAAACCCTTTGGAATTCCTTCACTCTTGAACGATTCCTGGAAGCTAACCACAGACTCAGGATGAGTCCGCCTGGTCATCTTCACCAAATTCCTCCCCCTCCCTCAACTCAAGGAATGTCATCTCGGGCCCTTGCGGCCAAGCGTAAGTTGCTTTCCAAGCCGATGGCTGAGGCTTGCGAGGAGAAGAAGAAGTTCCTCGCGACTTCCATAGACAAGAAGGACTACAGTAAAACCTTGCTAGTTGATGATGGCAGCACCGAGGGAGCTCGATCTGTCGCTTCCTTCAGATTAACTCCTCGTCGCAATCGTCGCGACTCGCGTTCTCCTCGGAGGGTTCAATCTCCTCGCCGTGATTCACCTCGTCCTCCCCGAGATGATTTTAGTAACGAGCCGATTAAGAACTTGGTTCGCCGGAAGAGAGATAAGTCTTCTCGCAGCGATTCTTCTCCGCAGAGGGAAAAGTCGAGGGCCCGGACTGACCGCTCACCTCGATCATCTCCTCCTCCTGAACCAATGGGTCCTCCACGTCCGGTTGATATGTCTTCCTCCTCCCAGCCTGATAGTGGAAAGACTGCTCGGAGTGCGTCTCCGAAAAAGGGAGATTCTGAATCTCGAGATGCTCCCTCGAGGCTGAAGCCTGCTCTTGTACCTCAAGTCAAATCGCTTTCAGGTTCGGTGACTTACACACACTTAAACTTTTTGTCTTTATTAAAATTCCAATTTTTACAACCCTTCCTTCTTCGCAGCTATGGAGAAAGAAGGCAGCGTCTTCCGATGCTTCAAGACCCGATCGGGTTCGATCTTGCCAGACTTTGACAAATGGCGCCCTGCGATTCGTGAACGTTATTTGCTTCACGCGCATCACTCTTCTCGGGTTTGTTCCGCTTTCTTTTGTGTATACTTTTTATTGTATTGCCATTCTGCGAACTGACTCGTCATCCCGGGTTCATGTATAATGCCAGGCTCAAAGCGAATTTAACGACATGATCGAACATTACGAAGGGCTGGTCATTGGACGGGAGAAGGAGATCGACATGTGGAAGAAGAAATTCTCAGCGCTTGAGGCTGACCTCAACTCTTCTGCTGGCTCTAAGCACGATTTGGAGGATAAGGTCGATAGGCTAACGTCGGAGTTGGCGCAGGTAAAGGGGGAACTGCAAGACTACTATGACCGGAATTACAAACTCCAGGACGAACTGTCTGGTGTTCAGGGTAGACTTCATGAATCCGAATCAGCCGCCGACACCCTGAACAACCAAATTATCGAGCTCGACGCGAAGTACAAGGCGCTAGCCAAGTTGCGTGATTCTGAGTTGGCAAGGTCGGCATCAAAGGCCAGAAAGGAGGTTAAGGGACGCGGGATGGAATTGATCCAAGGGGCCATTCGCTTCATGCAAACCGAGAAAGCTAGGTCGGACTTGGAGTCAGACATCAAGGAGCACGAAAGCAACTTGATCCTGCTGGACCAAATCCATGAAGCAGATTTCTCCGAGGAGCAAGAAAGGACCGAGCTGTCGACTAACCTTTCTGAGAAACGGAGTCGCTTAGCAGCTCTTCCCACTTCGATCTTCAACCCGCTTGACTTCGAGGCTTTCTTTACTGAATCACCTCCTATCAGTGAATCGGGTTTAGACTGGGCAGGTAACGCTTGGTTCCTGTGGCTTACCTTTTTCTTACCTTGTACCTTTGATTGACTGGAATCATTATTTCTAGGTTCTATGATACGGAAAACGTTGTCCCGCCCGCAGCTCCAATGGTACCAGAGGTCACTCCGGAGGTTGGTTGTACCGCGGAGGGTGGTCAAGGAGCTTCATCTGATCAAGCGGCTACCAAGGACGCGAATGAAGCTTCGACTGTTGAGCCGGATTCCGAGGTGGCCGCTGCTCCGTAGTGGCTGTGTCCACTTTAAATTGGGGACTGTCCCTTTATTTTTAAGACTTAATT